GGACAGAGACAGGAGGATCACTGGGCTTGCTGGTTGTCAGCCTAGATAAACAACAGGAGTTTCCAACTCACAGAAAGACCCTGATTCAAAGGCATAAGGTGGAGAGTCCTACAGGATACCCAGCACCCTCCTCTGGCCTTCACACATACATAGAGGCACGCACATATATTCTACACATACATACATATTACACACACACATACAAGATATGCACACACCAAACCCCAAAATAAAAAGGAGCCATATTAAAGCCGAGGAGGATTGCTGTGGGTTGAAGGGAAGCCTGGGCTACATATATCAGACAGACAGAGCAGCGGTTACAGTCTAGGATGGCAGTAGCCATGCCAGAGGAGTTACTGGACCTTCCTCTTCACCATCAACATCCTCACAGCGAGACCAGCCCCGTCCACAGCAGGGGAAACTGAGGCTCAAACGGTGAAGCCAGAGCACACATCCGCATTCAGGGGTTCAGGACACTGGGACACTGACCACCACACCAGTCTTGCTTCTGCATGGAAGGGGACCTAGAAGCTCAGGGATCCAGGTCTGCACTGGCCATGACCTTCAGACACACAGGTGTGTCATGCCTAACTCATGTCTCCATGCCAGAAGAAAGGGAACCTAATCGTCAACTTCCAGGGAAAAAGAAAGCTACAACTTTCCCAAATGTTTGTCCGCGTTTCCGGACCACTGCTGGCTTTGGCCCCCAACCAGGAAGGGTCATCTAGGGTGGTAGACAGAGGATGCTTAGGCCTCAGGACTAAGAGTCCTTGGGCCTGAGGCCAAGGGGGTCAAAGGACAGGAGGGGAGCCAGCTCGGCAGAGGGCCAGGACCCTCTTGGACACTTAAGCTTGTTTCTTCTTTTCCTTCCTTTGTGACTAGTGTGGCTGCCAGGACAGGCAGGGGAAAACATGGGTGGGGATGAGGAGGTGGAGAGGTTTCATGATTATCTCATTAGGGCTCTTGTGTGTGGTTACACAGTATAGACACTGGGCCAGTTTTCAGGGATCACCTCAGTGAGGCCTCTGACTTGCTCTCTGAGGAAGGCCGGTGTGTCCTCATTCCCCTGAGGTGAAAACTAAGGCACAGAGAGGGCAACAGTACCTGAAGGCCTCACAGGACTAGCAGAAAACCCAAACTGTTGGCCTCTGAAAGGGTTGCCTGGGGTGGGGACGAGAAGGGGAAAGGCAGAGAAATGAAGGAGCAGTGTCAAAAAGACCCAAGCCACCTCAGGAAGCACAACAAACAGCTGCTGGGGTTCAGAAAGGTGGGGGGGGGGTCGGAAGTCAGCCCCCAAACGCCACGTGGTGTGACCCCACTTCCCTTTCCAGCTTCATCTCCCATCTCTACCTCTCCCTTTCTGTCTCAACCACACCACAGTATTTATCCACCCTGAGCCCATTATACAGGTGAGGCCTTTCACACACACGCTGTGCACAGCACCTAAAAGGTTGGTGCCTCCACTGCACACCTAGAGAACTCTTATCGTCCAGCTCTCCGTCCATTCCTCTGACTCCTAGAAGAAGCCTGCTGTTCTGGGCTCACTGTGCACCTGAGCAACAGGAACCTGGGGGAGTCATGTGTGTCCCTAGAATCTTGCGTCCCTAGAATCTAACCCAAGCCCAAGCTTCATCACTGAATCCAAAAGACAGGCAAAAGAGGTCTTTATATCTCTGTATTCAAGAAAAAGAAGGGTAAGGAAGGGGGTGACGTGGACAGGCCTAGAACCCAGGGTTTCTCTGACCCCAGGTCTCTGGCAGATCTTGCCCGGCCAGACCAGCCAGAGTCACACAAAGGAATCCGAAAGATAGGAGGAGTCCCGATGGCCGTAAACCGGGAGCCTTGATGTCCGGCTCAGACAGAGCAGTTGAAGAGGGGAGGTGGTGAGACAGATAAGTGGCCTCCTCCCCCAGCCCTGCTCTGTCTCTCTACAGTTGCTGCCCTCAGCCAAAGCATCCACCGCGTCGTCACCCCACACCCCAGACCTCGCTCTCACCTCGGTCGTCTCTTGCCCGTCCGCTGCAGACCATCGCCATGTTCTCCTGGCCCTGCCTCCTACACAGACCTAACATCCCTCAGTGCTGCATGGCACAGTTCCCAGCCCAGTATCCCAGGATTCCTCCCCGAAACAGGTGGCCCTGCCTCTGCTCTCCCTGTATAATACCCGATGGGCCCCTGCTGCCCTGGGGTCAGGCCTCACATTTTCCTAAGCCTGTCTTTGCAGGGACATCTCCCCAGGTGCTGGCCCTGGCTCCACATCTTGACACACATAGTTCCTCCCAGGAGGAACGTCCTTTTCCTTAGTCTCTGTCCAAGAACACCTATTCACGCTTCACTTCAATCTCAGTCAGTGTTGGGCTCGGTGGTTTCAGAGCCCTTCAGCCCAATTAGATACTGATCTCTCCCGGGGGGGGGGGGCAGCAGAAAGGGCCCACACATGGTCAGCTCTAGCTCTGGGCCAGCATAGGGCCTGGCACAGAGTGAGGCTCCAGACGAAGCAGGTGGCTAGGAAATGGAGTCCCATTCTGACTTCCATGGAGCCACCTCCCTCCCTCTGCCCTTCCAGTACCTTTTGGAACCTGTCACATTAGACTGCTGTCCACCTGCTCCCAGCAGTGCCTTCCCAGACCTGAGGCCCAGTGTCCCAAGACAGACATCTTTGCATTCCCAGAATCATGCCCACAATCATAATTAGAGTGACAACAACCTAAAATTACCACCATTTATTAGGAACTCATTGTGTGCCTAGTTATTTAATCCTCGCAAGAACCCTAGGAGGGAAGGAGATTTTTTTATTGTCCTCATTTTACAGATAAGGAAACTGAGGCTCCAAGAAGCTATCTGGCCTAAGGTCACACAACTAGTAAGTAATCAGTGCTGGGGTCACAGCCAGGTCTGCCTGACCCGCAAGCCACCCTGCTGCCCGGCCGCCTCTTGCTTCCTATAATCCTACCTCTCAAAGCTTAGAGAGGCAGAGCCCACCATCCTGGAGCTGGGCATCAAAGCTGGGCAGAGAGGACGCTGACACTGCCCTGCTTTTGTAGGGGGATGAAATGGCGCAGGCATTAAGAGCATGGGCTGCTCTTGCAGAGGACCCGGGTTTGAGTCCCAGCACCCACATGGTGGCTCATAACAGTCTGTAACTCTGGTTCCAGAGGACCTGACACCCTCTTCTGGCCTCCAAGGGCAACAGGCACATGTGTTGTGCATAGACATACATTCAGACAAAACACCAACACACATAAAGTAAAAATAAATAGTTTGTGTAGAAAACAGGGTCACTGCTCAGAAGTTCACAGGGAGGAAGAGAGAGAAGACAGGGCCAGTGAGAGAGATGGCTCAGTGGATGAAGCGCCTGCTCAAGGACCCTAGTTTAATCCACAGGGAAGGAAATCAACTCCCAAAATGCATCCTCTGACTCCCCATGTGTGCTGTGGTACAAAAGCATCCAATCTACCTAATCTTTCCTCTCTCTCTCTCTCTCTCTCTCTCTCCCTCTCTCACACACACATACATAAATACAAATAATACAATTTTAAATTTAGAAATAAAGATTTTAAAATAAGTTAAAATAAAAGGGTTCAAATAAAACAGCAGACAACCAGAATATGGAAAACAAGATCACTGGCAGTAATACATACGACCTGAACTCTCAGGATACCTACACCTAGGAGGATGAAATTCTCCAGGGCCCTTCCCCCAGCTAAAGCCAAGTGACCAATAATGCTAACTTAACCCTTACCTGTCTGTTGGAGTTAAACAGCTCTCCATAGGAAGAGCCCTTTTCTCACCCTATTTCACAAGTCAGGCAACCAAGGCTAAGAAGGGTGACAGAGCCAACTCACAGGAAATCACACCAGGCAGACCCCAGTCCATATCCCAGTGCCGGCCCTGGATTCTAGTCCAGACAATAACAGTTAAAACTAGGAGTAAGGGGCAAAAAGGATGAACACGTCCCTGAATCCTCTTCCAGAAGGAGCCTAGGGCAGGAGGAAGCCAAAGACTATTGACCGGCCCATGATGGGCTTCTTCGAGATGCTCCTTCCCACATGCACTGGGGAGACGGTCCTGTGCTGTGTAGGTCACAGGCAAGGTCACAGGATCCAGAGAAGTTTACTATTTGCCCAAGGCCACACCACTAGGAAAGTGACCATAACTGGGAACACAGTGGAATCCCTCTTCATCCCTCCCACTTTCAGGCCAAACCTTCCCAACTGTCCCTTAGGAAGTTTCCCATCAGAGGAAAGCTAAAGGCTCTGCCTCGCCCTCCCAGGAGGTCCAGTCGCCTAGCTTTCCTATCTGCGTGATGGATGACGCCTCCCAGGTCATAGGACCCAGAGATCACTTTCACAGCCTCTAACAAATTCACAACGGGGTGATGAGATACCGGGCTTACGTTTTCTGAGCCTCAAAGATAGTGCACACTTTGTATCCATCTTGCATTTTCTGAGTGCAAGGATAGTGGATACCGAGTATCCACTAACTGTTTATTTAGTCCAACACAAAGCACACGGCTGGGGACCTAGCAGATCCTCAACAAAAGTCTTTTTTTCTCAGAAATGTTCACCTAATGTGGGCACCTACTACATGCCATTCTGTCCTTGATGCTAGAGACATAGCTGAGAACAGAGGCGCAAACACCCTTGCCCCCGTGGGGCCTGTATATAGGAGCAGATACATATGCCTAGAAGGACCAACATTCTCAATTTGCAGAAGTGAGCACGTGATACAAAGAGCAGCCCATTTGTAAGTGGCCAGGTGAGGGTTCCATCCCAAGCTATCTAAAGACCTTTGGGTCTTTGTCAAGTCGCCCCAAAATCACTCCCCCTGGTGTCACGTCTCAAGAAAAACACTTGACTCAGTTAGCATCTTAACTCCAAAGGGTACCTTCCTTCAGCACTTCTGCCTGCCGAGATCCCTTGTGCCTCCCAGTGGCCTCAGAGGCACATACACCCATCAGAACAGCACAGTGTAGCCGGTTATGTCAACGCAGTACTCACCCAGAAGAAGGCATTGTGGTCATACAGCCGTTCGGGGAGAAACAGCGGAGCCATCGTCACGTTGTTGGCACAGGGAAGCAAAGGACAGAAGTGAGACACAGCACAACGACAAACTCTGGGGTCCTAATCAGCTGGACCTCAGTGGGGAACCTGCCCCCCCCCCCCCCCCCCACCTCCACACCCCCAACCCCCCCATACCCCCACACCCCCACCTCTAACACTCCCACACCCCCACCCTCAACACCCCACACCCCCACATTCCCACCCTCAACCCCCACCCACACCCCCACCCTCAACACCCCACACCCCGGTGTGCCTCTGGCACTCTGGCAACCAGACACCGTCCAAGCAGCTACCACCTGACAATGCACCCTGAGCTCATCAGGCCACCCTGGGTATCCATAGTTGCACCAGGTGCCAAGCACTGGGATGCAGTCTGAAGTCACACAGGGCCTTTCCCGTGTGAGCCTACAGGGCGGCATGGAGGCCGTAGCGTAAATTCACTAGATCACTGCTGTGGCACATCAGGGAGACCTTAAGAACCTGGGCTTAAAGCCTGCCTCCACTTAAAGCTCTACCGCTGGTGGCATCTGGGTCATTCCCCAGCTTCTCTGTGATTTCTTTTACTTACCTGTAACACAGAGGGCAGCACTCAGATCCAACGCTTAGGGCTAGGCGGGAGCCTAAGAGTTTACATCGGCAAACTTTCTGAACAAGGCTTGGCACGCAGTCTGCTCATAACTTGTGGCTACTAGGACTACAAGGGGCTGTGGACGGGGGCTTTGGAGGGACCTAGCATGGGTAAGCCCCCCCCCCATGTTATCGAGAAAGATGCTGCTGTTGGGACTGGGGGAGGTAATAAAAGGCGAAGTCACAACACAATGCCTGGGTGCTGCGATGACTCTGCAAGCACTGCTGTGATCTTCTCCAGCACATCCTCACCACGCAGCGCCTCATCGGGGCTGTGGCAAGGGCCCCTCCCCACGAACACACCCAGAGCTGCAGCTTTGGACTGAGACGTGACCAGCCGCCATCTTCTCATGGCTCTACTGATGTTTCAGTTTGTTCTTCACAGTCACACGGGAACATTGTGAAGGTGAAATTGTTACTGTTCCCATTTTACAGATGAGGACAGAGGGTGAAGGGACTCCCTTCTGTGTCCTTGGTGGCATCATCTAGGCCTAGTGAAGTGGTCAAAGCTTATGTCCACTCGGATTGTGTTCTCTAGCTTTTCCTTCATTTCTCCCACTTGGTCTCTGCAGTGCTAGCTGCACCGGCCCAGACAAGCCTGTGAGCGCTTTCATATGAAACTGTTATTGTCAAGCAGCTAGCTTAGGACACAAGCTGCTCCTGAAACCACCTCTCCTGGGTCATTGGCACCATGACCCCTGGTCTATTCCTATAACTGACCTCAGGCACTAACCATCACCCAGACATCAATGGGTGTCTATGTTCACTCAAATCCACATTTTATAGATGGATCCAAGATTGCTTTTTAATGCCCAGGTCTTTCATCTGGGTTATTGGGCAGGTAGGACCCACTGAATAAGCATCAGTGGGCCCGGAGCTGCGGGTGTCCCCTATCTCTCTCTCCGGCCTGTTTTCAGCCCCCCAGTTACACATCCCAGAGATCAGAGCTCCATCCAGAAGTCATTAGGCATTTCTACAGAACAGGACTATGGAATGAGCACCTCAGTATGAGGAGTACTGGGAAGTACAGGCTTCCTGTCTTAGGGAAGATGGAGCTTCGAAGTTGGCTCTTAAGTTCCAATCCCCAGTCAGCCACTTCATAGCTCCACGGGTGGCTTCGGTCAGGTTAAGTTGCCTTCCCGTGAGCCCTTGTGAAAAGGAGTGATGCTTCATCAAGTACTAAAGGTTAACTGAGTTAATGCCACACACGAATTTAGAACAGCAAATAGGCAATGGCCCCAACTAACAAGGACAAAAACAGAGACGGTCTGTCTGTGGGCTCACTACACGCAGCCTTGATCTAAGCCCATCCTATCTCCTCACACAGTGTGAGACTAAGTTCTAAACCATGAGGTATGACCATTTTCTACGGTCAAAGGTCACCAGCACAGGAAACAGTAGCAGTGATTGCTGGAAGACCCACAGAGAATTGAGGCTTGTTTCCCTTGCTGTATTACAGAGGAAGTTGAGATCCAGGAGGAGAAGTACCTGGCTCTCAGACTGTAAAAGAATGGAATCCTGCCCTGGGATAAACCTTAGGCCCTGGGGAAATTCTGAACACACACACACACACACACACACACACACACACACACCTGTTATACAAAAACAACTCCTCACACCCAACAGATGTCAGCCACCCCAACCTCGACAAAGAGGCCTAGGTGAGTATCCTCTCCAGTTCTGTTGCCAGGAAACCTGTACGGCACACAGTAGGTGCTCAGGAGGCTTAGGATATAACCAAGTGGGGTTTTCTGGCTCCAGTCCAAGGGTTCCCTCTAGGCCTCTCTCTTTGTATCTTGCCTCCTGACTCGCACCCTAGCCTCCCTCTCACCCTGCACCTCGGTCCTAACAGCACGCCTAGGTCCAGCTCACAAAGCCGGGCCTGCCCCCGAGTCAGCATTTTCCCAGCCAGCCTGGGATATTCCTGTTCAACGCAGGCCAGCCAGGCTCCTGGCCAGGGTCCACCCTGCGGAGAGGGTGCTGGCTCTGCCCCGGCCTCATCCTCACTGGCCTGCAGGTGGGAGTCGGGGGAGCTTCTGTTGGCACCCAGAGCCTACAGAGGGAAGCCAGCCTGGTCTAGACAGTGCGAGGATGTGTTGATCAGGAGACAGTGGGGTGCGGGGTGCCACCCACACATCCAGCCACTCCGCCCAAGCCCCGTGTTGCTGGGAGCTGGCAGGCCCAGGATGAATCTCCTATATACACAGGGAAACCTTGGGGCTCCCCGACTCCATTCTCTTCTCAAAACACCCCCCCACACACACTGGCGTGTTCTCACACCAGCCACCAATCTGGCCTGCTGCAATACTTAATGTTTCATTTGGTGATGCTAATGCCTATAAGGTCTAGATTACCAGACTAAGGGCGCTGGGAGAGATGACGTGATTTACGTAAGGTCACACAGTAACAGGCTGGACTGGGACTCAAACCTAGTTCTGCTGACCCTGCCCTTCCCGTCTGTTCCCTGTAGTTTCTGGTTCCCTCTCTTCCGGGGGCCCTGGCCTTTTCTTCTGCCGTCTCCTCCTCCCCCACTCCCACAGTTAACTCCCACCTCACAACTGCTGTAACGCCTTGTTTCTGCGCACCTAACAGCAGCAGGTACCCCGGGCTGCCGCGGAAAGTTATTTCTGAGGTGTCTGTCTCCCACTTAGAAGGGTCTTAGGGGCAAGGAGTCGCCTCAGTAGGCGCCTTTTAAACATAACGTCTGTTGTTTCTGCCACCCTTCTTCCTCCATCCCCAAGCAAGTATTTCTGGCCTCCCTTCCCCACCCCAGCCTGTGTCCACTCCAGACCTGTGACCCGGGTAGGAACGTGAGGACGAGAACTTGCTAAAGTGCTGGGGGAGGAGGGGTTCTGCGACAGCGCTCTGGCCTCTCCCCTTCAGTAGCTGAGGACCCGACCCTGACTCAAGCAACCATCCCTGGAAAACTCAGCTGCGCTAAAGCCCACCGGAAGCAGCCATTCTCAGGGCGCTATCTTCTGCCCTGTTGCAGGAATGCGGAGGGTCATTTAAACGTAGCCATTCCCTCCCAGGGGACTCCGAGGATTCCACAACCCCTGAGGGAGAGCCCTCCCTCCGCCTTCCTCAGCCCGGCTGGGCCTGGGGTCCACCTTCCAGTCCCTGCCTCCTCCAGCCTGCTGGGCTGCGGGGGTCCGGTCCTCTCCTCCCCCAGAGAGGTGGGGCCTGCTGCAAAGTGCCGGTGGAAGACCGAGGCAACTCTTGGGGGAGACGCAGAGGGCAGCCGGGGACATGAGCGAGACGGGGAACCTCGAGACGACAGAGTAGGAGCCTGACCCCCAGCGAGACCCGGGAGACCTAAGGCCAGAGGAAGTCCCAGCCTGGACGCCAGGGCGCGCGTGCGTCCGGGAGGCGACCCGAGCGAGGGCCACCCCGGCCGGCGGAGCCAGGGCCGCAGCTCGCGGGTCCCGGGGTCCGGAAACTCCGTTACGTAAGGCCCCGAGCGGGGCTCCCGGGGTCCCCCCGCCACCGCCCTCTGGGCCGCCGGGCGCACAGGGTGGGGCTGGCCGGCGTGGGGGGGGGGGGAGCGCTGCGCCGCGGCGCGGACACCCACGGCAGGACTCCGCACGCCCTCAACTCCGGGACTCCGGGACCCCCGGGGACCTCAAGTTCGGAGCACGCAGCCCGGGACCTCCAGCCACCCCCGTGACCCTCGGCTCGCCGCTCCCCCGAGCGCCCGCCCCGGGGGCCCTCGGGAGCCGGCTCCTGGGTCCTACACCTTGTTCCTCCCGGGCGCTGGGGGGCCACCACCCTCCCCGAGGCGGTCCAGGCTCACCTGGGCTGCACAGGGCAGGGACCTGGCCGGGCCGGGCCGGGCCGCGTCCTCGCTCTCCGCGGCTCTCTCCCTTTAAGAGGTTCCTGCCACTTTGCCCCACCGGGGGCCTCCACCTGCACTGACAGGGCAACTCGGCCGCGAGGCCCCGCCCTCCCCCGGGAGGTCCTCTAATTGGTGCAGGCGGCTGCCAATCATGGAGGGGGCGGGGCCGGACCCAGCCCGGCGGCCCGACTGTCGCAACCGGGAAGGGGCGGGGGCTGCAGGTGCGGCCAGGCCGGGACGCCCAGGCCCAGGGAAGCTCCCGAGAGAGCCACAGCGGTCAGGGGAGGGGAAGCACGGAGTTCCCGGATTGGCTGGTGCGGCCCCTGACGTCATGTTGCAAAAAGTATAAAGCCGTCTGCCACGTGGTCGTGGCCCCAAGGCTTCTAGGTTGCGGTGGGGGGTGTTCCTAGGGGAGTTAGAAAAGTGACCTTGACGTGGGCTTACCTGGATCACCTGTCTCACCACTTAGGTGTGTGACTTGAGCAGGCCGCTTCTCTGAACCTGAGTTTCCCCGCAGCTAGAAATCCCC